CATGCATTTCAACTGGATTCACTGTGCTAAGTACAGTGATATTGAATGGTAAAAGGATTAGTCAAAGAAGCTTGGCAGTGTAAGGAGAGCTGAATCTGAGTGTCTACTGAGTATATTCAAGGAAAGAGATACGCATATGTGTCTTAATCCAATACCAGTGCAAAGAAATTCAAGCCATCTCTTGTAATAGATTTTTCAGTGCTGTGAAAGCAAAAATCCTGCAGAAAAAAAAGACAACTTAATTTACGGAAATATATAAAGGGATTGTAAATCATTGTATATTTGGAGTTACTTCCTAGCTATAACCCACATGGGGATACCTTCAACTCACAGTATTTCATTTAGCCACACCTTTACCTTTGAAAAAGTAAAAAAAAAGTGTTAGATATCATTCTCTTTCCTCTCCAATATGACCTTGTTGGCAAAGACTAAGTATGAATCTGTATATTGGGGACTTTTAAGGACATTGCTCAAAGGTGGTAGATTAACAATTTCATGTCCTATGATTCAGAATATTTTGATTTTAAAATGTTACATTTCACTCACCCTAACCCTTAGGTAGGGCACAAACCTATGGACAACCTTAACTCAGATTTAATGAAACGTTCTTTTGTCAGAGAATATGTGCACTGAATTAAAAAAGCAATGTCTTTTTAGAAGACAAACGTGGCACCTATTGCAAATAATTGAAGTTATACCTGCATATAAATGTTTCTGCAACAGAAATGTGGTTAGGTAACCATTGCCATCCTTCCCATCATTCAGATAAAGCTCTCCACAGGGAAATCTCACCACAGCTTTACAATAGAAATAGATTGTTATTTTAACTTTATGAAGAAAGGAAGATGGGGCAGAGAGCTGTAAAAAGCTATGAGCAGAACTGTGAGTAGATTTCAGATTTCTAGTCATTGCCCAATACTCCTACCGACAAATTTCATAATAATTTATGCTCATCTTCCTATTACATCTGGATACTTACAAGATACTGATGTACAGTAATGGGAAATTTGGAGAATAGTATCTGAAGGGATGTGTCATAGAAATCACCTTTATTCCAGTGGCATAGATTATATAGACATTTGTTAACAGATTCAGGAAAAATATGCAACAGGATTAACTTTCAATATATAACCTCTATCTAAATTCCCAAATAACACTAACCTATCTTTTGCACTACAAAGATCAGATGGAAAAAATATGGGACTCTGCAGTTTGTCCAAAAGACCCTACTTGTAGAATGTTCTTTTTGCTTGAAGTCAAGGGGTCTTTGATACAGATATCAGAACAGAACTCTTGGAAGTATTTTACAGTCTAATTGCCTAGATCTTCTATCTCAGAGTCAGCTTTTATCTGTGTTTCAGGGGTTGCCTTTTAATTTTTAAGGTGTTACAAGTGCATTTTTTGCGTAAGTCGAAATCTCCAAAAATAGTCAAAAAATACTGCCTGAGACCCTAGTAGAACAGTATTTTCCTGAATTATGGACCTCAGTGTTACAATGCCTCCACCTGAATTTTTTGGTCAAAATACAACAGAATATAACATGAAACCTTGTACTACGATGGCAGGTGCATTGATGTGCAAGCAGCAAGTACAACAGTCTGAGAAAAAAAATAAGCAAGGAACCAAACTAGGTCTTTCACAACACACTTGGCTATCCCTTCATGACTTTGCATCATGCATATAAATCTATCAAAGTATCTTTGGGGGAGAAAGCATCTTTATGGAGGCTCTATGACATGTTTCCAGTGGCGCTAGCAAACAGGTCATCAGTCATGTCTGATTACATTTAGATATAAAAACAGGAAAAAAAGTGAAAAATATTATATTAAGTTTCTCCTAAAATATCAGATGAATTGTGCTTCTAGTAATTAAACTGAGCAAAGAACCCAGGGAAAACTATGAAAGTAGGCTTGGCAAACATCCTTACTTTATTCACAATGTTTCTATTTATACATTATCTGTTTTTTTCATATAGATGTATGAAAAACACTGATTTACAGGAACTGCAAGTGATTAAGAAGCTGCAGGTAGTGCAGTACTGAAGAGATAAGTAAGTTTCATGCTGTCAAAGGTTCTGACCTGACAAAAACTCAAAGCTTCTATTACTCTTGTCACTCAAATCCACATGCAATCTTTGTCCAGTCTCTCTTTCCCTCCTATCTTGTCAACCCAGTCTCTTGTACTATGTTGATCTAGTATGATCGCTACTGAATTAAGTAGTTACAGACTAAATATTCTAAAATAGCAAGTCTACTGTTTGAGAATGTGCACATGCTCTAGGAGGCAACACTTCATGGCCCATCAAAGGGAAAATATCATCATATTTCCTTTTTTCTTTTTCAAAACCTGGTCTTTGCAATAAATATCAAAAGTCTTCTTATAGATGGGGCATTTGTTGGAAGCATCACTGAAAACTAGTGAAAGATACAAAGAATACAAATGAACTTTTAACTACAGTCAACTTACCAGTCTAATGAAGTTTCTTTCTTCTTTATAAACACAGCTTCTAATTTTCCAGCCTAAATATATTCATGGTAAATTTATAATAATTTGATCTTATGACAACACTATCCTTTATGATTAATACTTAATACTTCCTTCTTTTTAGCTTTTATTCTTTTTATATATTTATAAACACAACAATATTCTTTCAGAGGTATTCTTTTGCTCTTGCAATATCTGCTGTTAATATTGACCTTATTCTCCACTCATTCTAGTAATTTACACATTTATGCAGCTCAGCTATTTTGATCATCTAAGGTATCAACTTAGAACTCAAGAAAATACATCAGTAGTAGAGTCTTTAGTACTCTCTACTTCCACAGAAAAGATCTCTGATTTCTCATATTAGTTTGCGGTGCTCCCCACCCAGTATAATTTTGTTGACTTGATGACTGATTGACATTCTCATAGTCCTTCCTTTTACTGATGCACCTCATCGTATAACAGAAGTTGTATTATATGTCTACAGATGCATCACCTGCAGACCTAAATTCCACAAGACTATCAGACAAGTACAAATCCCCTAAGAAGGGGTATTGAGAGGAGGCCACTGGTTTGTCGATCCCACCTTTCTATCTGGGATGCACAACATTCCTGAATGATTCATCATTCCATGAGGATGGTTTCAGTCTCTCTAATGACAACTGTACTACCAAGTAAACAAGGGTTTAGTTTCCAACACCTTTGGATGAAACTTAATCCAAACTTCATATTGCTGAAATTTAACTTGGACCAAGACACAGTTGGAGAATGATGAAAACTGCTCACACAAACCAACCACTGTAATAACTTTCACTCTCTCTCTGGACAATTAATCACATTTTCTCTCTATGTTAGGGTGGCTCAGAGCATCCTGCAACATGATGTAGTGCTTTTAAATGCATTTCAAAAGCTTGCAAGCTTAGCTTTTTTATTCCACAGATTTTTTTTTAAAACAAAATAATCAACTCTTAATTGGAAACTGTCAAGTCATAAACTTTAACAATATTTCCCCTATTTTTATCATGTTGGATTATAATGGCAGACATGCCATCAATATTTCATTATTATTAATCCAAGTTCTACTAGCCAGGATCAAGGAATCTTCCAGTTCAAAGTGTAGGGTTCAAACAAAACCATTGGTCATCTCCTTCAATTACTATGATGCACACATTTTGGACAGTCTTGTTTTCTGGTTTGCTCCCTTGCCTCAGGTAAGGGTATTGATTGTAAATGTTGATTCACGAATGACTTATAGCCATAATGTGAGTTTCTTGAGGGAGTTCTTCAACTGGGAAAAACCCCAGCAAAATGTATTGCTCTATGCAGCCTGCTATCCTGCTAATCCTGATTGCCTTGATCATTACATTCCTCAAATCTTTCCCTACTGTGACATTCCCCTAGATACCAGATACTGTTTTTCTCCAGATACTGTATCTAATGACATCTCTGTAGTTTTTCTTCAGACATGGTATCTAATGAAGTCCTTTCCACTCACCAAAGAAAGAGGATGTTACAAGTGTAAATGTCTTCTAACTATCCCAGACCATCTCAATGTAAAACTGTTTTAATATTTTCCCAGTAAACTATTTATTAGACTATGTAAGCACGTAATGTTTGTCCTGTAAAATGCAATGTTTTCCTATGGGGAAGAAAAAAAAAGAAAGAAAGAAAGAAAGACAGAGAGAGAAAGAAAACCAAACCCAGTTGCTGTGAAATTTTGCAGATTAATTTCATGTAATCTTCATAAGATTATGGCATTCACCATCTAGAACCATAAAACATCATGAATTACTTTCATGATGGCAGAAGGTTAAATCTTCTATGAGGTACAGTTTATGCTCTGAGATTACACCTGCAAGCTTAAACTGATTGACTGTCTTGTTGGTTTACAGAAATTCTGCTCATCTGCAGTAACTCATTGACATCTAATCACTGCAGCTCGATTCTTTATTCATTCAATCATATGCTTCCTAGAGCCTCATATGTGGAAAGAACATAAGGATTTCCTTTCTCTTTTACTTCTATAGTTCTCTGATCTGCTTCTGAGCTCTACACATAATGATTGCAGGGTTACTTGAAAACATACTGCATTCGTTTCTTTGACACCATTTTCACAGAAAAGTGAGGTTCTGAAAGATAGAAGAAGCATATAAAGGCACATTGTAAAGGGGATCTTGTCACCGTAACATAATATTTGAAATGTTAATCTTTTCACTGTAAAGAAATGTTATTATAATCATCATAGTTTGTATATTGAGTCTTTTTTGATGCAACAAGAATTGCTTGCTCTGTTTGCAGCAGTTATATGATTTCCTAATTCAAATTTGCAGATTCAAAACAATATAAAAAAAATATATAAATATATATATGCATGCTTATATATGTATGAATGTGTGTATGAGAGTGTCTAACAGAAAAAAACCCATTGCAACATAAAAACCAGGTAATTATTGTAAATAACATTCTGGTTGAATATTTCTAGGGAAAAATGAAAAAGCATCACTTGGAATGAAAACAGATCTTCTTATAATATAAATTTTATACATAGAAATGTCATAATAGCCATAACAGTAATACCAGTATGGTAAGAGTAAATTGTATTTAGAAGCAAGTCTGACCTCACAGACTCATTTTTCACTTTCGACTTTGTTAGTAATAGTTTTTCAGAAGAACAAAAGAAAAATTCTTGAATTGATATTGTACTTTATAAAAATCTAGGCAACTGAATATTTCTAAGAGAGCTGTTATTTTTTATTGAGACTACCTGTGTGTCCAATTTAGGAAATATGTGACAGAAGCAAAGGTTTTCAAAGCAGGCACTATTCTTTTGGCACACACAGGCACACAGGCATACACACATACACAGATACACACATACACAAAGATGACAGGCAGAGCTCTGGGCTACATGTTCTTCAGCATAAATGGCTGTTTAACTCAAGACTAGAGCTGTAAATTCCCTTCTGAAGAGAGGCAATGCAGATTGTGCTCCTCCCTTGCCCATCCTTTTCCTTGGAAGCAGAAAAGAACACCTATGAACCAGTCTTTGTTCATGGTCATTGTTATGTTGTAGAGATGGAGCAATCTGTCAGGGATAGAAAAAAATTATTATAATTCAATTTTTAAGGATAATTGTCTGTTTAACAAAGGACTAGGGAGAAAACTGGTTTGGTTTGGTTTGGGTTTTTTTCATGGGGATGTTAAGCTAATTTGCATGAAAGGAAGTTGAAGAATGGTGACCATGTATAGGTCACATGGGTGTGAAAAGAAAAGGTTTAAGCAGCTGAACTTATAAGATGAGGAAACACAGAATAAGCTATGTCACCCTTCATTTTATGTTCAGTACAACAGAGTCTTGCTTGACCTTGGTAGGTCCAATCTAATGAAATCTTATAAATCTTTCTTAATAAGTTATATGCCAACTCTAAGTTAATTTGTTCTTGTAACCAGAACTAAATTATTACCTCCTCCTCAACCATTTACCACATTTTTCAGTATTCAGTAACATTGTACATTTGTACATAGGTTATTTTCCATGCTTTCAGCATGACTGTGGCTGCACCCAGCCATGTTATAGCCTCTTGACAAAGTATTGAACACTGGGAGATTGTGGCTAATCAGCCCGAAATTGATAATCCAGAAGTCTGTAATTTTTCAAATAGGTGGAGAGTTTTCCGAACTCATCTGCCCTTTGTACATGCCAGGTGATTGTCTTAAACAATAATATCTCTGTGCAGATGCCTCTCTTCATATAAATGAGTAAATATTCTTGGTTGAGGCAAGGAAACTAACTGTTCTGAAACTACACTTTGCTTCTGTAGAGGATCCTAGTAAGGCTGAAATCTCTTCTTCAGTTGCTATTTATGTATATATATGTATGTGGAAAAATTAATTGCAACAGGAGACATGGACACATGCCTTTCTGATTGTACAACTGTCTCATGTTTGGGGTATTAATTTGAGAGGACAGTAAGTTTAAAAAAAAAAAGTAAAGTTTAAAAAATATTAGTAAATGGAGCATGAACAGGTCTCATTTCAGAAAAGGAATATATTTTCATGAGGGAATATCTGGAACGTATGCTATTTTGAATTATTTTTGATTGATTTGAACTCAATAAACTATTCTCTCAGAAGGATCCTCTTCTGTTCCACTTACTGCCCAGAAATTTAGTTCTGAGTTCATAACAGTTCACTAACTTCTTGGAAGAGAGAAACATCAACACTCCAGTGTTGATGTCATATGTATATACTGACACTGTACCAATAGTATCACAAAAAAAGTTACATGTTGTAATAACCACAACACAGAGAAGTCCAGAAAAGAACAACATTAAATATGGCAGGCTTCTACTGACAAGATTCACAACCAAATTTGCTGTGGAAGGTATTTTGTCTCATTAGAAAGTAAAAATGCAAGACATTTGTTAAGATGGAAGATAATATTTCTAACTTAATAAAACACAAATATAATAGTTACCATAAAAAGAGGGACAGTCCCAAGAGTGAAATTACTATATATTTCATATTTCTAATTCTAACACAAACATAACTTCTGTAAACTACAAATCACTGTACATTTTCCACAGTTCACGCTAGATATAGATAATAATAATGGCTTAATATAAAATGAGTTTTACATTCACTGCTTATGAATAAAAAGGATAATATTCACTAAATCTACTGAATAGTCTTCTATATCAAAATCTGCACTTAGTCCTGATACTTTTGTTTTCCTCCTTTAACATAAGACTGTGCTTTCACTGGACCTGATCAAACTCCTGCATTTTTAAATCGAAATTGTCCTACTAAAAGTAGAAGGTTCATGTTTGCAACCTTACTGCCTTGTGCATAAATATATGTACCTCATTGTACATAAATATATGTACCTCATTTCACACAACTTCAATGCTAAGCTAAAAATGGCAAGAAGTAAAAACTTGTGACAAGGCCACATGGAAAAAAATGCTTTTCTATCCAAATGTTGTGAGTTGATATTTATAACTGGCAAATAGCTGAAAGTGAAATACCTCACAGTGTTTTTATTAGGAATATGCAAACTGTTAATACAAAAATGTTCCAGACTATTAAGCATGCGAAAGTCAACAATTTTATTAAATCATCCCAGAAAATGACAGAAAGGTTATGCAGTGTCTGAAGGGCAAATCTGATGTGCTTAAAATGGGTTAGTAGTGTCAAGAACAAACTGTGCTATAAATTGATTTCTCAGGTAACAATAAAACTGGAAATACTACAACCTTAAACTGATAGGATCATGTAGCAAAATCCTAGGCACATATGCAGTGCGATATTTTCGCTACAATCTTCACAACTAAATCTTTTCACTCAGATTTAAGCACTCTGATTTTTTCAAAAGTAGGAAACTGAAAAACTATTTCATTTACTCATGGTCTGTTAGACATTATTACTACTTCATGTCTTCCCATTCCATGCAAATCATCATATTCTACTGAAAATGTCTTTTCCCCTGTAATTATTAACATCTCTTGAAACAATAGAAGCTTTGAAATAAGCCTACATTGTGGAGAGGTAACCAGTGGATACAATATGCAAACTCTCTTCTCTCCATTGCTAGTGCAAATAAGTTCTAGAAGTAGTTTTGCTGCCCCTACTGATTTTTTTTTCCAGGTTTTTAATGTGTAAACTGCTAACTAGTTGATTTCTTGTCTGTTAAAGGTTTGTATAATAAAATAATGCCCAACAGTTGGTGACAAGTTAGCCATCTGAGAAGTAAAGTGAAAACTGATCAACCTTTCATCATTATAGAGGATTTCTTCATGATAGTGTTGGAGACCAAAGAGGAGGCAGAAATATATATGGCAGAAATACCAGTAGCACATTACTGTAGGTGAGTTGGACACTTCAAACCACCTTTGGAATTGTTCGATGGAACTAGACGCCTCAAGAGTAATTCATTGGAACAATTTTGGATTACAATGTTAAGGTAAGCTGAAACTTTTCTGTAGTGTCTATTTTCCTCTGTTGATTAGACAGTTGGATAGCTAAAACTTTAGTGCCTAGTTTTCAAACACTTAATTTAGGAAAAAACACACAAAATCCTAAAGAGGGCCATGAAATAGACTAAATTATTTATCCTTTTGATAAAGAAACATGACAAGAACATGGTCTGGAAATTATATATCTGAAAGAAAATAACTGGAATTTGAAACACCAAAAATCTTTATTTTATTTTTCACTTATCCTAAGCAATTTTTTAGCTCACCCTTCTCCATGTTTTTTACAGGTTTGGAGGATTTTATGTGTTTCCATTTTCAGAAATTAATGAAATATTTACTATTTGCAAATAACATTTTACAAATTGGGATATTTATATTTTCTGCTTTGCTCTACTCAAACTCAGATTGTCAGAGAATTAACAAAAAAGCCTCCCAAGATCTGTTTTCAAGTGGAAACAGTTACACTGATGCATGTCACTGTATCTATAGCTTAGACTGGTTTTCTTTCTATGTGTATTTGTGTGCAACTATCAGTGTTGAGTTTGATCTGTAGTTTTTAACATTCATTCACCTACGTCATTCTGCAGGTGCTCAGAATAAGCTTCAGAAGCATTTTGTCCGAGTTTTTTTCTTTTAAAAATTTACTAACAAAAAGCTGTGTCATAAAATATACTGCTTAGTATGAAGCTCTGCATTCACCACTTTTATAATACATAATCTATAATATATTGGCAATAGATATTGTTAACTTGTTAATCAGAAAAACTAGGCCTTTTTTTTATAAATTACTGTTTCTGTAGTTTTCAAAATTTATTTAATAAATGTGGGTTCATTTGTTACTGATCCTGTACATTTTTTCCTTTAAGATGAAATTAAAATTTAAATTAAAAAATAATGAGATTCTAGAAGGTAGTGGTAAATTTATTATCCAAGAGGAGAAAGATAAAGACTATTTGTAGAATGTAGTTTTCTTACCCAGGAAACAAATAAATCTTTGCCTTAAACTTCTGAAGAGGGCCACTACTTTTTTTACTGAGCGTCATCCATTCAAATGTTCTCCTTGGATACGACCATAAACAACCCTGTGATGTGTCATAGATAGTTCAGGTGATATATTAGCTATCAAATGAATACTGTGGGTATACACATCAATAGGAAAAATGCCAGTAATTTTACCACAATTACTTGCAAATTCGGAATGAGACACATCATCAAGGAAAATATCTGCAGTCAGATATTCATTCTCAGTTACTTGGAAATGTGGTAGTTACTTAAATAAAACCCTGGGACAAATTCAGCTACAGCATAACTAGTCCACAGCATAATTAGTCTTGTTTACACAATTACACACAATAGCAATTTCTCTTCATTGGTGTTTCTCAAAAATGGGATTTCTGCTCTTAAATGCAGACTGAGACCAGTATTTTAACTTCTGCTTTGAATCAGACAGAGCCAGAGTTTGAATGTGGCTCTCTGCCACTCAGAGAAACATCTCTCTGATGTTCAGTTGTTTCTTTCCTTTTTATTAATCTGCTTTTTCTCTCTCCTCTAAAAAATGATTCACACTTCTGACAAAAGATTCACAGTCTCACCAACACCTTGAATATATCTGTTGTGTGAAGAGTATTCTTTTCTTGATGAAGAGGATTAATGCAAAGCAAATGTCAGCACCAAGTCTTACAGCAATCCCTTCCAGTCCTTGTGAGTGCATTTTGGCCTTCTTGCTTCAGTCACAGCAATATCTGTATATTTCATCTGAACATCCTCCCTCTCTTTAAAGAGGCAAGGACAGAGGAAGGTTTTCCCAGCTTTAGTGGCAAATAATACCACCTGTGGAGAATGCCTGATTACAGTACAAACTAGTCTCTCTTGCTATCTGAAAATATCACATAAGCCCAGCAAAAAAGAAAAAAAAAGAATTTTAGCAGCAAGTTGTTTAGTTTCAAGATGAATTTCTCTTATATAAGAGTAAAAAGGTGGTTCTATAGTCATGTAGGGCCAATATTTGTCTCTGTTGAATGAAGTGGAGAACTGCACAAGGGTGAGGAAATTAATATAAATTATGTTTCCTCAGGATTTAGGGTCTCCAAGGCAGCAACTCACAAGACAGTAACACAAAATCCATGTTTTCAATAAATTACTTGACTGGGTGGCTAAGGTTGATAATCATCATCTTATCTGTGAATTTCAGAGATGTTCTTAAGCAAGACACTATACTTTAGTCAAGTTTATTTGTGCTTGTAATTTGCCGTTGGAAGAAGTAGTACAGCATCTTTTCTCCTACTCACAAAGGAGACCTGGATTTCTCAGGTTCATCAGTATATGATTGCAGTCCTTTGGGCTATATTTTGAAAGAGGTGTCCTTATGGTACAAAGCCTTTATGATAGATTTGTTCTCAGATCTTCATCTTTAGATGGTACTGCAGAGCATAGGGCTGTCATTCAAGCTTTTCCCACTGTCATCTTTGCTAGTAAATAATGTAGTTAATTCAGTACCTCTGCATCTTTATATGGCTGTCAATGCCCTAAAAAATAACAGGCTAGTGCTCCTGCCAGAAGTGAGAGAGAGTTATAGTGTGGGGATAGTCAAAGGAATAAAATGTGTTAAAATTATATCATATCCCTCCTTCCCACCTTGGGTTCTTGATTTCTCAGCAAACACTTCTCACAGATTTGCTTATCCCCTTGAAAAATTAGAAATAATATTTCTCAGAGTCACACCATAAAGCCATGTCCATGAGATTTTAAAAACAGCGGGGTGATGATTTACTTTTCAATGACAAAAGGCTTGATCAGCACTTCTTCACTTCAGGCCATTATTCTGTGAAGACCTCTCACGCTAACTCTCAAAAATCGTACTGAACTGAAAGGTAAAAGCACTGCGTGGAGAACGATCTGCCAGTTCAGCCCTTTACAGATCCACATTTCTGCTGAGCCAATGCATATGGTTGAGAGTGTAGTCTCAGCAATAAATTTGTCTTATTGAAATAAATAATATAAGCATGCAACTGATGATCACCTATAATGTTTTTTAAAAGTGATCTAACATTCCTTTAAACAAACAACAAACAAAACCAACAGTATGGAGTGTTGTGAGGAAAATTATATGAAAAGAGATTTTTTTTTCAAGAAGCAACAACAGTGTTCCGCATTTTAATAACACTATTACGACTGAATTGTAATATAATTATAATTAAATGCAATGAACACAATAGAATTACTTTATTTTTCTTTTGTATCACATTGTTTCATAAGTTTGCCAGCTTCAATGTATCTTGTCATTTTGGTTGCTGTTAATGAATTCACTACAACAATTTGCAACCAAAGATACACAAATTATAGTAACGTTAAGAATAATTTGAAAATCTACAAAATCATCACTTAGAATAAAGTGATAATATAAAAATCCATAAAGAAGCAAGTAAACTGTCATATTTCCAGTTTATATTTTGGATGGCTCTGCGTAGTTCTTATTTTATTATACTTTATGGACATAATGTCTTAAGATGTTTCAAAGTTTTAATAATACTAAGACTTAATAATACTAATACTTAAAAATACTTTAATAATTTTTAAGACTAATTGATTTGGATACCAGGGTTGGCCAAAGATGTATAATTTCCTTTTTAAAAATCAAGATGTCTTTCTGTTTTACTGACATATCTCCAGACTAATCTATTACTCGGATCTTCTATTTAAAACAACTGAATAAAATGTGATACCATAGGAGCGAAGTCAATAGTCCTTCCAAAGATCTATTGTGGGACTAGGATGAAGGTGTCATTGCAATCTGTTGTAGTTATGAAAGTCCTGTTTAAGACTCCTCTTTACCCATTTCCATAGTTATGGTTTTATGACACATTCATACTTCTTTCTTTATAACACATTCATAGTTCCTCCGTGATCTGGTTTCCTCCTTTACTTTCCATTTCTGCTCTGGTGTCCCTGCATCATTTCCCTTCTAACAAAATCCACTAAACATGTATGTGTAGCAGAGGGTAAAAGCAGAGTTTACTTCAGCTGTGAAGGGGAAAACCAAGAATTTTGTGCTACCTTTGTCCAATCCTTGTTATTGAAACCAGCCTGATGCCTGATGTTATCTGCTTCTGTCTCCTTGCCTGCTCATGTTCAAACATTTTTTTGGATTAGGGGAAAATGACCCCAGCAGTAAAATCTTATCTTATTTGTCTATGTCTACAGTGCTAAGTAAAATAGGACTAGAGAGCAAGCTCAAATCCTGAACTCAACTATTCATACTGCTTAATAATTAACATACTCTCTGGCGTGGTTTTCACCTGTACCATCTAACACTCTCCTGGAAAATGCATGGCATTGCAAGAACCAAGAGCCACTCCCCCACCCAGAGCTTTCTCTACCCTGCTATCGTTTACTAACCTATTACCAACTCCAGCTGGAAAGTAAGTCTTGCACTTTGAATACACCCATAAGCCCTGTCTATGACAACCCAGAACCTACAACAAGTGCCATCAGTAACATGATACGAAAGCAACATTCTGGGCTGCAACATTCTTTCATTATTTCAAACACATTAACTGAAAAATAAAGAAAATTACAAGACGTTACTGTATCTCTGGATCAATGTAGAATCTCCCAGGTACAGTCCCAAGGCCAATAATATTGTGTGGCTGTGGCCAGTCTGTATCAGCTGAAGTGTGCTCCCTGTTTACAAGTACAGGTGTCACCAGTTGCTGCAGGGTGAAGATGCGGGTCAATGCTACCTGGTGATACAGAAAGTCATTGAACTTGTCAAGGTTTAGCAATTTATGGGTCACACATTCTGAGCATGGAAGAAAATAAAGAGTTTATAGGAAGGGTTTGACCAATCAGGGTTTTTTGGTTGGTTGGTTGGTTTGTTTGTTGTTTTGTTTTGGGTTTTTTGTTTGTTTGTTTGGGTTTTTTTCTTGGTTTGTTTTTGGTTTTGTGGGGTTTTTTTGGGGCGGGGGGGTTGGTGGTTTTTATTTTTTTTGTTCTACTCTAAAGAGACTGCACTGAAAATTTTGAACTCGTGCTAAATCTTTTCCTCGGGATAAACATGCAAACAAACAGGGCTCAACTTTTTTAAGGCACATCTGATGATACCTACCCTTAGAATGTAGCTCACTATATAAATACGTTGCAGAGAATTACTTCTTTCCCTTCAACTCCAACAAGCTTAAATCCACAGCTTTCATATCTCAAGCAAATTCCCTCACAATAAGACTGTTGCTTAGGTTGGGGTTGACAGTGATACTCAAAGCACTCAGCTAGAAATATTAGTTTCAAATGGGCTCCATATTGGATGAATAACCTTGTTGTTACCATTATTATTTTGTTTCAATCCTAAGCTAAGTTTAATATACATAAATTATCTAGGGAGTGATGATTAAACCCATGTATATTGCCTTCCATCAGCATGCACCCTAGTAATCTCATCTCTTTTCCAAGTCATGGTTTCTGAAGGAAGCAGTTGTACCTTGCCATAGATTGAACACTCTGTTGACAGTTCCTGAGACCATCCCACAAGAAGTTACTAGATTGGATCCTTTAGGAAACAGTCTTTCGGTTTCTAAATCATAATGGAGTTCAGATGTAAAACAGGCAGTGCTTTTCAAGACAAAATAATTCTGCAATCATATATGTTCCTACAAAGCTTTAGATAGACAAAGAGGGGCTAACTACATACAGACATCTCCAGGTTCAGAAGTAGGAGAAGAGTATATTCCTTCTGAGATATAGATATTTTGATCTGTTTCATGTATGGAAAGAAGAGAACCAAAAATTTATCTAAGTGCATCATGGAAAATCACTTTTAAAGGTCTTAACAAAAGACATCGCTCCATCAAAATAATATAAAGGCTACTATCTGAATTAGAATAGCTGCAGGGAATAGGGAACTCAGTGCTGAAGGAGCTAATTAGATTTTCAATTTGTGTAGGAAGTTGAAGGGAAAAAAAAGTGCTGGGAGAGAATTTGCCTGGCCTCTGCAGGTGCAGTGAAAGATTATCAACTTTGGAGGGAACAACTACTTGGTTTTTGGCATAATTTTTATGGTGTGCTTCAAAAATAGTTCTGTGAATGACTCACCCCAAAACTATTGTTAAATCAGTGGCTACCTACTGTTGTGAATGGTCTCAATCAAGAACCAGGGTAAACTCCATAAATCAGTGAAAATGCTTATACTTCTTAGTGGACATATTTAACGACATAGTGCAGTGAAGGAAATATTTCAGTCATAAATTTACATCATGAATTCTTTGAGTGAGTAAGTTTTATCCTTTCTTTAGTCAATACATAGCTAACACGTCATTAATTACAGGGAGCAACTTGAAGCTTTAAAAAAAAAGAAGAGGTATCTTCAAAAAGGTAAGTCAGAGCTTAGTTAAAAAACATTATCAAAATAAGGTAAAAATATATATGCGAATAAGGAGAGTGAACAGAAACCTTGGATGTGGTTGATACTGTACCCCATTTCAGTAGAAAAAGATCATGACATCAGATAAGAGAAGCTCTAAAATGCATCCGTTTGAAGTGAGGAACTTTGGGAGGAAAATATTTTCTGTGAAGAAGTTTATTTTAAAATAGATGTCCAAATCTTAAAAAGTATTGTAACAACATAGTCAGCAATAGCAGAAGGTTGAATTTGATTGCCTTTGAAATCCTGTTTCTGAGATCTATAACACTGTGCATGCACACTTCTCAAAAAAATTTTAGGTTATCAGCAAGACACTTCAGTGACTTCCCTAGAAACTCTGAAACTGCATAATCAAGAACTATTTTAGTTTAAACAAATATAATTTACATCATTCATGTTTCTTCTTTCAAAAACCACCTTATAAGTGGTTTATATAACCACCTTATAACACTATAAGTTAAAATGACCTAGTTTCCTCTTACTAATTTGGATTTAATTCTATCTACAAACTTTTAAACTATCAGGTTATGTAAACTCACATATTCTTAATTTTCTGTATGTGTGTATGTGAAGGTGGGACAGAGAGAAAGAAGATTTTAAGGAAGTTCTAACATGGCATGAAATAGGATGGTTTGCAATTCTGATTGACGTACCTTTGTTCAGTCTATAAAATACACTGAGATACATGACAAAGAAAACAAAAGCTGTCAAAAATAGTCAAGGAAGTCATTAAATACCATAAGCAGAGGAATAGAGGGAGTGACTGCTGTGTTTGCAAGTTGTCTTTGTTCATACAGTCATGTTCCAAGTTTGCAATGCATCAGCAACTTAATTTTTTTCCTTAATCTTCATTTATGCTTTTCAATTCCTTAAGTCAAACAATTTTATTTTGTAACTCCAACACTTGGTGAATTTGACAAACTAGATAGTTCTTCTCCCCTTTCCTGTAACTGCAATCATTTAGTATGATGCAAAATGAAATGTAGCTCCATATCAAACACCCGTATTGTGCTAAGTGTTCCTAATGGTATCTTTTAATTCTGCTCCATCTTCATTCATTGAAGGACTGCAGCTAAGGCTGATGTCATATGGGGAGAGGTGAGTAGAGATGATGGTGATGTTGATGATGATTTGACAAAGCATGAATGTCTCCAAAAATGCATTTTCAGTCACTTCCAAATTATGTGAGCACAAGCCAAATGTGCTCATTACCAGAATTTTGAAAATTTCATTACATACACACAAACATAGAACTATCATTATGCCAGTTTAATCTAGTGCTCCTGACATCCATACAAAATTTGACAGTCTGTGATTAAATCCCCAGTTTTCTCCCAGATCCTAGGTTAGCATCCTAACATCAGAGTACAAAGCAGAAATGGGAGAGCATGTTTACCTTTTACTGTGTTGTTTTAAATCCAGTGGTTCTTGAACAGTTTTCTGAACCCCGTACTATCAAGCTATTGCTCTCTCAGTCAGTGATGATGTCTTCCATAAAATGAAGTTTCCCCAACATACGGATATCCTATCCACAAATTTCCCAGTCTTCACATGCTCCACATCCCACCTGTTATGGTGCTTGTCTGAACTCTTTCTGATTTGTTCTCTTTCTGATTGAGGGTAGGAATCTGAAACAGTTTATTTCATAGGTTAAATTAATACCTTCTCCCAAGGCTATGGATATTCTGACAGTAACCCAGAGAAGAGAGAAGATAAGACTTCTACTTTTGTTAGAATTGTCCTCTTTTCAAAACCATTCACAGCTTGGAATTCAGGATTATAGAAGTTTAGGATTTAATTATCCTTAGATGAACTGAAAAATAAACCAAAGATGCACAGCGTAGGTGTTCTAAAACTCCAACAGAAAGAAATACGTGGCTTTCTCCAACAGCTTTGTCTGGATCTGGTCCATTTTCTTCTTTCTTATCTGTCTTCCAAGAAAATTGTTTATACAGGGCCACAAAATACTTCGATCTCAAACTAAAAAAAAATCCAGAAATTATTTCTATCACTTAATTTAGAAGGCAAATTGAAAAATCAATTCTTTGCACAGAAGAATTGAACATAGTCTCATTGACATAAATGCATTGAAGTACACAAGTGAATTGAAAGCTATATTCCTCTATTATTGCTGGGATTTGTCACAAGCAATTTTAGAATCATGTATTGATCTTTCATTATTAAGATTTAGAAAAACACTCATTTGCTAATCTGAGCACTTCTGAGTTCATTCACAATAAAAATAATTACTATAATATCATCAAAACAAAAACTCAGAAAACCACCAATAAATTACCCCAAATATTACACCAATATAAAGAGTTCCCCATTGGAACTTCTGTTTTGGTTTGGGTTCTTTTTGGATGCAGAGTTGTTTAGGGCTTTTTTAAACCTTTTTAAACCACTCTATCTTTACTCTTTTTGTTCAGGATAGTGACAGAAATGTATGACAAAAGTACTAAAGAAACACAGCTCTTTAAGATGAAAAATTAACTGTATAGTCATATATGGATAACAAAACATGAGCGTTGATTTATAAACAACAGTCTCATTGTGCTCACTGAAAACACGACCGTAATTTTTCCAACTTTCTCTCCTTCAAAAACTCTCACTGAGAGATGAATGGAAATTGAATTCATTATATATACATCCAATCTGCTCCCCTTTGAGTGTCATGCCTTATTTTATTTGATAATTCTAAATGATCACTACAAGATGACTGATAGCTAGGATTTTGAATGAATATTACTTCTTTTACCGTATTTTTGTAACTACAGTTAGCTAACTATTTGATGAGGGCTGTAAGAAACAGAGAATATAGCTCTCATATGGGGAAGAAAGAACTTACCAAACACAGTATTTCCTATCATAGTAGAAAATAGCTTAGCATTGAGTATTTCTATCTGTGCCAAGTTTGAACACACTTGGCAAAGAGATATTTCACACAGGAGAAAAATATCTTCCCCATGAATGTCATAGATCAGCTGCCAGCTACTGGCAGGTCTATGGTAGCTGCATTGATGGCCTGGGATCATTAGCCATAGCTTTGGACTTGTCAGTAAATAACTCCCGTTTCTGCAGAGCTTTATGGGTGTTCAAGCTGTCTGGAGGAAGATTCATTGTAACTTATACAAAATACGAGTTCAGCAAAATTGTCACATTTTTTCACTTCTATTGGATAATACATCCATATTACAGGATCTTTTCAAAGTATACTTTTGAAATGGAGCACATTAGCAACTTTCAAATGGATTACTTTAGCAACCTGTGGTTTAAGTATAGTGAACAACTGACCAACAGAGTTTTAAGTCCTTATGTTGAGGTGCATATGTTGATGGGCAGACAGAACCAGGTTGAAATGCCTCTTACTACGTCTAAAATAAAATCAGTGAAGACATCACAATCCACATCTTCTCCATCCTTGTCACTGTTCCGTGTTGGAGATTGTAGGAGGAAGTCTGTTCACACACACAACTCAATGGTTTCTTCAGCTTAATTAATATTATGCTTACCTAGGGCAGAAGTATCAGCAAAAATTCCGTGATAAGTCATTGTATACAGGATACAAACAGAGAGGATATAATGAACTACTGAGCAGTCAAAAATCAGCTAAAGGCAGTATGATAAATTTTTTTTGAGTCCCCTAACCACTTTTTCCACGAAAAAGGATGGTAATATGCAAACAAGGGAAAAGTTAGGAATTAAGTAATTTCATTTACCTTTAGATTTTTAAACTGCAGCTGTTTATACTTGTACTAACACCTTGGCTTTTCTTTGTAGCCAATAGCAAGAAATGGTTCCAAAACACAATTTCACTGACCCCTTTTAGAACATTTTGATGAAATTGTGTCCTTCAGATGCCTACTTCTAACCACTGAGAATAAGGGTAGCCTAAATGCTTAGGTCTGGTGTAGCTACCACATTGCAAAAGTTTCTTTTGGTGTTATATATCTCATGTAAAGTAACTGAAATTCAAAACATGACTGGCAAAGGCTTCTCCCTGCAATTGAACTCTTTAATGTTGAGTGTTTGGAATCTTGCTGACCTTCCTGCACACAGAGAACACTACAAGCCCTTTGGAAGGGACTGCTGTATTTCACTCTGTCTGTCACCAGAACTCATCACTGTTGGAAAGATAAAGGGTAGGAACAGTGGCTTGCAGTCATAGATAACAGGTCATCTTACCATTCCTTTGCCCTCAGCCAAGAGCAGGTATAGCTTCTATCAGATACATCAAACCATATTTTTGCACAAAAGTTGTTAAATTATTTTATGAATTATTACTGAGGAAAAAAACTAACCATACTAGGAAACCTAACTCTGTGATATTCAGCTACCTCAGATTTTTTAATAGGTAGGCCCTTGAGAATAAAAATCCTGACAAAGCTGTATTTAAATGCTTTGACCATTCTAACTACAGTAATTGTAAAATGTTCCTACATTCCATTTTATGGTTGTGACAATTTTATATAAAACCTATATCCATTGTTCCACTGATTTGTATGGGACAGAAATATCTGTAGATCTAGCTAATCCACATATGCAGGCTAATGAGAGCTACAGGGTAAGTCTGCCCTTAATTCACTGACTTCCTTCAAAGATCCAGGTCTCTGTGCAGCCTATTAATCTACTAATGAGTCAAATCATTTCTGAACTATGCAGGCATCACTTCCACACTTTCTAGGATTTGTTTGCATCTCTCTGGTTTTTTTCAATGTCAAAGCGCTATCCAGAGCATCAAGCTAGTCTATTTTAAGAGGTGCTTTCACAGAAAAGATGCCCTTATCAGGAAAGATTTTTTTACTTAATAAGAAAAAATATACACAGTATATAGTGCAGATGAGCTAAAATTTAATGAAAAAAAATCTATTGAAATAAAAAAAAAGAAGAGTTTGTTTCATATCTAGTACCATAGTTCTACAACAGATTTTCATGTTGGAAAATTGAAAAGGTTTAGAGGACTGGTTCTGACATCATCTATATCCATAGCTAATCCTGAGGACTTCCTATAGAGAACAATGGGGAGGTTTGCAGACACCTACAGGTTCTCTGCATAGATCTTTCTGTACGCCATCTCTTTTCTTCCTTTTTGAGCTCTTTAATTGCTTGGTTTTCAATTGTCAGGCCTTTGCGTCAGTCTGCAACTATTCTGTAAATCATTAATATGCTTTATAAATAGAACAGGAAAAATAATCTTTTCATTCAGTGGAGATGCACACAACTTATACATTAGATCTGAAAAATGTACTTTCAGAGAGAAATGGGGCTTTCATAAGTACTTTTTGTTTGTTCAAAGAACAATTAAAGTACACAAGACATTGTATACCATCATGAAGAGTGGGCTAGTTGGGATACTAGAAACAGTATACATGGGTTCACAGATCATAATTACCAACCAAAGAAGGAAAATCTAGATTATCTTTGCATAGACTGAAATGTGCCTGCGAAGTCATGGCCTCTCTTTAATGACTCAGTGTATGATGTATTTGAGGGCAAAGATTGTTTATGATGTACCTAATGTAAACAATTTTTAGAATTAAATATGTCTCAATATTTTTTAAATACTTTGGCTATGAGAAATTCTATTTGAAAACTTGTACAAGAAGCTTCAAGGACTTTGTTTCCAAGTAGGTGTTGTAATTCTTGTCTGAGTATGTAAGTATCTTATATAGCTTGTTGGTTCTATATTAGAGCAGCTAATATCTTAAGTCCTCCTCCTTTTGGCCTCATCTTCATCTGTTCAGGCACGCTGGCTGGCTGCCACTGCTCTGCAGCTGTCTAGGCTCTGTCTCTGTAGCTGGGTCAGTAGCCACCCTGTGTAACCTTAGTTCGACCATACTTTTAATGGTGTCCTTTGCAATTGCTTTCTGATCTTATTTGATGGTTGGATTCAAACCTGTTCTGTGGTATATTAGCTGCTGATCTTCAGATTAACCCAGTGCTATGAGAAGCAAATATTTCTAGGATAAGGGACAGATGATTTCCTGTCCCCTGATAGACATAAAAGAAACAAAAATCTATATTTACAGCAAGTATTTTATTCACATGGAACAGGTAAATAAGACACTTGGACACAAAATTCAGAATAACCTTCTGCATCCACAAATGCAGTCTCCCATTATCACAGGCTACCAACTCAAATAATCTTGTTAATATCTTAAATGTATTGAATAAGCCCAAGAGATCCAAGAACTGACATCATTACAGTGATAGTCATTTTCAGAAAAGGCATATGAAAATATCCAAGATTGCTGTTAATTGGCCAAATATGTGTTACCAGCTTAGAGTACAGAGTTGTATGATGTGCATGAGTCACAGTAAATGACAATTTTACATAATCCTGATTTATCTTTGGGAGAAACTCAAGAAAATTCTTTTCACTATTTTTGTCAGGAATCTAATGATTACAGTATAGTATTTTTCCAGTTTCTGGGAATGTCATCCTGTAGAGAACTGCAAGACAGAAACTGACAGTACATTTCACATGATGCCATATTTTTTCTCTGTATTCAGATGGAGGCTAGAGAACAACCCATCTCACTCTGAAACATATGCAAAGCAGTTTGTCAGCTGACAAGGTACTGATAGGGTGCACAGATTGCACTGACTGCTGTCCAGAACAAGAGTTTATACATATAGCTAACACTTGAGCCCTTCCATATAGGTGTCTAAGGCATCTTAATCTCCACTGAAGTCTCACCCTAGACCACAATAAATTTTAGCAGAATTCAACCCATTTGACAATAAGTGAATATTTCAATACCAAGTCAGTATCGGACTTGTTCATGCAAAGATATTACTGACAATGAGACAATGACTGGTAATAAAATGGAAATGTGAAAAAAGAAATTATCATTACTGAATCTGTGGAAAAAAACCTCAACAGAAGCTCCATCAGGCCTAATTGTTACCCAGTAAGAATGCCACCAAAAAGTAAGAAGACATGTGAACTTGTGCAAACACAAAGCTGTTATGATATGTGTTTGTTGGGGAAAATAGGGTTTGGATTAGCAGCCTGAGACCTTCCTCTCCAAAAAGTTGACTTCAACTTCCTTGTAATTCACTTTAGAACCACCCCCAAAACATAAACATTTCACTACAGCTGAAATATTGTATAATACCTTTATCTTGCAAAACTACATTTTGGACTTCATCAGTAAAAAAAGTAAATACGTGATATACAGATGATTTTTACAGTTCTGAAGCATGCAGAACACTAGTATTCCAACCATACTTTTATTTCTTAGGTTTTATCCACTTTGTGAAAATGTGACTATCCCAGAAGAGAGCTGCAAAGTAAACCATGATTTTAATAGGAAGACATAAAGGCATGAAGTGAAAGTTCTTCATGTATGATTTTGATCATATAGTCAAGTACTTTCAACACAATGAATAACAAATTAAGTACTGAAGTTTAGTTCAATATGCTCATGGTATTCAAGATGTTCATTATATTCTGTAAACCAGCTGATGAGTTGGATGTTACCTTGAGTGCAGAATGTGATCCTATCTGAGAGTATACACGCTGCCATTTAATGTTTCTGCAAACCCATCTACTCTTATTCAGACTATTATTGCTGCAGGATGAGTCATATGTAGTTCCTTAGGCAGTCATACTCTCACAAAAGCAGTGGTTTAAGTGCGTCCATGAGGAGTTCCTTAAGAGGGAAGCTTTTTTCTTTGCCCTGATGGCAAAGCAAATAGCTTAGGGAACAGTCAAGCACGATGTTTGTATGAACAGTTAATCCAACTCGTGTACCTACATAGAACAGACACCTTTATTTCCTGAGATTTAGAGCACTGAATAAACTTTTGAGCACAACCAGATAATGAAGGATGTCTCCTTTTACATACAGTTAGAGACCTTGACCAGAAAGAAATGCTAAGACCTTCCTCCGTTCAGACCTCCTGTAGTAGTACCTAAATCTCAGAGAGTTACATGGCCTGAGCTGAACTATTTATTCTCCACTTTTCCTGTTGAATCTGGATCCCAACACAGAAAAAGACTGAAATATTCCAAGGATTCATAAGAGAGAGAAAAAAGTAAAATAGATCTGCTTCTATCCTAGTTGTAAGGATGCTTCCCTGAGAGTGATGTTTTCTTAGTTCTGGCTTTATATACTGTCCTAGGTATTATCTGGACTGTTTATAACAACATGTTGTCAACATCTTCTTAGATTACAATTATTGATATACTGGACTCTAATATAATAAATATTTAGGCAAATTCTGAAATTTTATCTAAAAAGCAAATTTTTTTGCTATTTCATTTCATCTTCTTTTAAAAGCAAATAAAAAGCAAATTCTCCTGCTACCTAAGAAGTTTTGTAATCTAATGAAGTTAGGCATGTCTTATAACACAATGGTAATTTACAGTTGTACAGTTGCATCGAAACTGCAAAACTGATAGACTGATAGAGTGGCCTGAAGTCTATCACTAGGATTATAATGGAAAGATGAATTAGGCCTCAAAATAGCAAATGGTAATTTTAAACTTTTGATGCATTTTTAAGCTTTAAAACTTTGATCTTTTTTTGTTTTAGCAGTCACAGAATGCGATATGAAAAATATCCTCAACACTCACTACTTAGAAGCAGAACTTACAGAACTACACAAGCAATTAATGTCCAGTATCATAGTAAAACAAATATTAAAACAATACATGAAAAATAAAAACATGTACATCCACTACTTTTTAAGAATTACATAGACTGCTCAAATGACTCATATTATTTCTGCAACCAGCAACAGGGACACATGTATATTTTGTTAATGGATTTTGTAAATTTAATATGTTGCTTTCTTAGCTAGTACTCTAACTGTAGCAACTAACACTCTAGAAATATTTGATGCATGTGTTTTGCTTTATGCTCTTCCAGTGTAAATGCACAGAATTATTTATAATTCTTGTAGACAGATTTTTAAATGTGTCTTGCAGAAAAATTTTTAAAAAGCATCTTTTAAAGCAAAGAGCAGAAGAAGTCTTTCTTTGTTTGGGTTTTTTTTTTTGTTGTTGTTGTTCTGTTCACCTCCACAAGAATTAATATTACATTGTCATCAGCTATTTCCTGTGGTCCACCTGAGTTGTTTAACAAAATAAAGACACATGTCAGTAGAACAATTCAAACACTTCTCTGGTGGAAAAATGCTACTTTCTTTTTGGCAATATGCCAAAGACTGCTTCTCTGTTCCCACTCTCACAAAAATATCTCCCTGTGCTATCTCCCTACCACCAATATAGCTCTACAAGATCTCAGAACCCAACAAGAAGAGTTACAAAATGGTACTAGTTTCCTTGCACGTTCATGCAAGATTTCACACTTTTCTGCAGACAGGAATTCGAGAATCATGAGTGACTCGAAGAGAAAGATTGTTTTTAAGACTTTTAAAATGGAGTGACTAAGATCAACACATTCTTTTACTCGTAGACATGAGCCTTCCCCTCTATTCTCTGTGCTCATGGCAGAGAAAACAGAATAGTTCCATTATTTTAATATAAATAGAAATCACATGAAAAAGTAATCACTTGCCCCACAGAGGACTAGAGTCAGTATGGCAGGAATACTATGTAATGGTTGCATGGCAGATAAAGCAGCATGGAGGGTAAGAAGGCGGTGGAACTACTTTTCTATTTTGGCAACTGCAATTTAGCAGAGGGTCATGGTGTTCCTAGGATTTTGGTTACCTGTCTTTCAGCAGTATGACCCTTCTTCATTCTAGTGCAATACTGATTTGTATAACTGAATACGCCAAACTACATTTCCAACAACTTGACTACTACTTCAGTCATGATAGGCATGAACTGCCACTGTATTTTCAGTAGTATTAGACACAACCTGATCTGGGAGTTGATTTCATCAGTGACCTACCTGAGTTGTTGGCTCCCTTTTAGAAGAGAGGCTTATTATCTCTCCCAGGTTTCCAGATTGGTTTTCAATTATCTATTTATCTTCTACACTTTTACTGACTACCTGCTTCAGCTGATAACTGCCAGCTGCCTCATATTCTCTGTGAGGCTTGATAGAGATCTTTCACAGTCGAATGAAAGTCCTGTAGTTACAATGTGCTGTGTTCTCTGTCACTGTGAGCTGTAAAAGAGAAGAATTTTATTGGGCCTAGAATAGACATGGTTGATGGTTATAGAGAAAACTGACCTCAACAGAAAGACATACTTTGGCTATATATTGTCATTAGAATTCTACACTCTAATCATAGTTATATGAATCTTATCACAAAACTTGAAGTATATGTATCTCATTCACTAACAGGACTAGGATTAAGTTTTATGGTAATGAGAGAGCTATTTGTGTGTATGAATGGGGGTGGAGTGAGACACAGGTTGATGATTATTAGTTGTTAATATAAAGCTCACAGAAGGTGGCCTATATGATTCAGCAATATAATATTCATGATACTGTTCTGTGTATTGGTTAGAAATGAAAAGAACCTGCTTATGGACATGAGAGAAGTTTGAGTTGGGTATATATGGAACCAAAACCAATCCAGAAAAAAAGCAGAACATAATCAGAATGTAATCCTGTGTATGCCAGAACAACATACAACCATAAACATGCACCCTTTAGATTCAAACTCTGTAACAAGAAAGACATAACCTGAGATGTAGCAGAGGAATCTAAGCTTAGTGGATGACTCATAAAATTCTTGTTTCAACTAAAACGAGTGGCATGTGGGGAAAATGGACTATTCTAGTAGAGGACTTACCCAAACAATAAGCGGATAGACTTACAGAAAATACCATCACATATTTAATGCTTGCAGCATTTTTTTTTCTCTAGTGAAAACTAATACTTACAAATCTTTTATGTTAATATCACTAAAAAGACCTCAAGCTGTTATCAACCAAATTGAGTGTTTAACACGCAACCTCACAGAAATCTATCACACTATCGAATGGACAAAATGAATAACTAGATGTGTGACTCTTTTCATAGACACACATGTGTATATGATAAGTGGTTTAATTTCTTCTTTACAATTATTTCACTGAAAAATACATAATGCCACACTCCCACACAGAGACACATATACACATGTACCAGCTCTGAACTTTTGGTAGCTTCCAGAAATTCACTCGGAAATGATTAATTGCTATCACTCAAACATTTTTAATTCTTACCCTAAGAGGGTAGCTATGAACATTTTTACTTTGAATAACGGATTTCCTACAGCAAAGGTGCACCAACACTGGAAAGATGCAGAATGAGAACAGGTTTTTTTTCAGTCTGCAACAGGGAATCAAATTACTTCGGAGCCCTCATTCTACAGTGCCACATCCAGTCTCATCTTAAAAACCTCCAGGGACGGAGAATTCACCACCTCTCTGGGCAGCCCATTCCAATGTCTGGTTACTCTCTCCATAAAAAATTTCTTCCTAATATCCAACCTAAACCTCTCCTCACACAGCTTAAGATCATGCCCTCTTGTCCTACTGCTGGTTGCCTGGGAGAACAGACAGACACCCACCTGGCTACAACCTCCTGTCAGGTAGTTGTAGAGTGATGAGGTCTCCCTTGAGCCTCCTCTTCTCCAGGCTGAACAACCCCAGCTCCCTCAGCATCTCCTCAGAGGACTTGTGGTCGAGTCCCTTCACCAGCCTTGTTGCTCTTCTCTGGACCTGCTCCAGCACCTCAATATCCTTCCTGAGCTGAGGGGCCCAGAACTGGATACAGTACTCCAGGTATGGCCTCATTAGTGCTGAGTACAGGGCAAGAATCACTTCCCTGGACCTGCTGGCCACACTGTTCCTGATCCAGGTCAGGATGCCATTGGCCTTCTTGGCCACCTGGGCACACTGCTGGCTCCTGTTCAGCTTCCCATCAATCCAAACTCCCAGGTCCTTTTCTACCTGGCTGCTCTCCTGCCTTTAGCAGGCAGGGGTTGTTGTGGCTAGAGTGCTTGGCCTTATTGAACCTCATCTCGTTGGAATCAAACCATCTCTCCTGCTTGTTCAGATCCCTCTGAAGAGCCCTCCTGCCTTCCAGCAGGATCAACACTTCCCCCCAGCTCGGTGTCATCTGCAAATTTGCTAATGGTACACTCAATCCCCTCATCCAGATCATCAGTAAAGATACTAAACAGAACTGAGCCCAACACTGATCCCTGGGGGACACCACTAGTGACCGGCCGCCAACTGGATGCAGCACCGCTCACCACCACTCTCTGGGCCCAGCCATCAGCCAGTTCTTAACTCAGCACAGAGTGCCCCTGTCCAAGCTGTGGGCTGCCAGCTTTTTCAGGAGAATGCTGTGGGAGATGGTGTTAAAGGCTTTGCTGAAGTTCAGATAGACCACATCCACAGCCTTCCCCTCATCCATCAGGCAGGTCACCTGATCATAAAAGGAGATCAGGTTGGTCAGACAGGACCTGCCCTTCCTAAACCTGTGCTGGCTTGATCTGATCCCTTGTCCATCCTGTAGGTGTTGTGTGATTGCACATAGGATGATCTGCCCTATAACCTTGCCAAGCACTGAGCTCAGGTTGACAGGCCTGTAGTTTTCCAAATCTGCCTTGCAGCCCTTTTTGTGGATCGGTGTGACATTCACCAACTTCTAATCATCTAGGACCTCCCCAGTGAGCCAGGACTGTTGGTAAATGATGGAGAGCGGCTTGGTGAGCTCTTCCGCCAGCTTCCTCATCACTCTAGGAGGGATCCCATCTGGTCCCATAGACTTGTGAGGATCTAAGTGGCTCAGCAGGTCGCAAAGTGCTTCCTCCTGGATTACAGGGGGACTATTCGGCTTCCTGTCTCTGTCTACCAGCTCTGGAGGCCACTTGTCCTGAGGACAACCTGTCTTACTGCTGAAAACTGAGGCAAAGAAGCCTTTTCCTCATCTTTGGTAACTATGTTCCCCATCATGTCCAACAAAGAATGGAGGTTTTCCTTGCCCCTCCTTTTGCTATTGATGTATTTGTAGAAGCACTTGTTATCCCTAAAAGTAGTGGCTAGATTGAGTTCAAATTGTGCCTTTGCCTCTCTAATTTTCTTTCTACATGACCTAACTATATTCTTAAACTCTTCATCAGTAGCCAGCCCTTTTTTCCATAGTTGGTAAGCTCTCTTTTTTCCCCTGTTTTCCTTAAGAATCTCCCTGTTCAGTCAGGCTGGCCATCTTCTCTGCCGGCTTGCCTTTCAGCGCACTGGGACAGCCTGCTCCTGTGCGTTCAAGATTTCCTTCTTGAAGCATGTCCATCCCTCCTGGACCCCTTTGTTTACAATAGAAATATGCAAGAAAAAAGAGGTATAATTTCCATATTCATGTATTATTTTTCAGGTCCCTTTGAAAATCACTCTCTTAACTTTATATAAACCAGCATGTAATCTGTAATATTCCACTGTAAATGGCAATGTGGATATGCTAGGCATTTTACAGGAACTGCCTGAGGTCCTATATGGCCTAGAATTTCCTCCAGAACACAAAAAGTGTTTGAATATATAAGAGAGCTTAAGACTACTATAATGTCAAATATACATCTTTGATTTCAGCACTAGTAGCTTTTCTAGGAAAGACTTTTCATCAGATTTCATCATAATTTACACATTTTTAATCCTGTAATTGTGGGCCTGCCTAGAAGAGTTTGGCCATGGGCATTGGTACCCAAGTTTTCTTTGCTTGCATGCCCAAGAGTCACAGCTTAGCATTTGTTCTTTCCTCCAACTGGCTTAGTGGGCCCCTTGGGGGTCTTAGTGGGCCCCTCAGTGGACCCCAAAGCCTGTAGTGCAACCTGCTGCCTGGACAGATACCATGTCTCTGAGGATGCTGGGCACAGGCTCCTTTCATACACTTGCGTAAGAGATGACCGATACTGCTACTTAAATTAATGTAACTGTGACTTACACAAGCTGCCCTGTCAGTCACCATGTTTGTTTCTAAAAATGTCCCTGGACTCAGATATGCAACTCAAGTATTACTTAGTTTATGCAATGTCACAAAAATGATTCCAAACTCTTCAGTTTGTTTCAGGAAGAACAGTGTTTGCTGTCTCTACCAGTGAACTACTTACTGATCCTTATGAGTACAGTGCCAGAATCTGCCCAGAGACTGTAGAGACCTGGCTGCTTTACAAACACGTGACAAAGTATTCTCTCCTGAATCTGAAAAACTTGCCCTGGAAACAGACAATACATAAATTATAACAATAACATCCTAAAGAATGAAGGAATGATAAAATGTTACATTACTGGTATCTACAGGTTTCATGATTATAGTTTAAAACACAGAATAATTAATAACACTTCTCACATAAAAGGAAACAGATTCATAAGAAAAGGAGCCAAAGAAACCTGATTTCTGTTAACTTGTGTTTCAGATGGCAGTCCTCTGTGGATGGATTCTTGAATGTGTAATGGGCATTGCCATTGATGTTGCCACTTTTTTGAAGGGTGACATGCTCCTTTCCAGATTATTTTTCTAAACTTTTTGTGGCTGGTGCTAGCTAAGGGATTCAAATATTATTAATGGAAAATAAACAGACAAAAATAAACTGCACAAGTTCAAGTCTTTCCTTCCTTCACTAGGAGCTCAGCAAACTAGAATATCCCCAAGTTCTCTCTCCTCTTATCCATACACAGGCAGCCTCAGTTCCTTTACATGCCTGTAAAGATCCTATTCATAAAGCTCTCACTAACAAAGTGCATGCAATAAAGCTTTTTTAAAATATATACTATGATAATCACATTTCCTTTTGTACATTTTGCAACACAATATAAACGACCACAATTATTCCAGCCTCCTCACACTACTTTAAGTATTGTACATAATGTGCAACCTTTATGCATAAGAATAGGCATGATGGTAAAGGTTTTAATAATGCAATGATATGATTATGTTGATCTCTTTCACCACAGGATTTTAGCCTTAAGGACAGAATTTCTGGAGAATGTAGCGGCTCCGGGTGCCGCGGGCCGGGCAGGTGGGCGGGAGTGGCTCCAGGTGGCGCGGGGGCCCGGCCGTGCCCGCCCGCCCGCCCGCACCAGCGCGCTACAGCGCGGTACATCCCGTCCCGTCTCGTCCCACCCCACCTCCCGCTGGCGCTGGCTCCATCCCCTTCTCCACGGGCCGGGCGCCGCGCCCCCGCCGGCCCCGCGGAGCCGGGTTGGGCAGCCCGAGAGGCGTCTCCTCCGCAGCCCCCGCCCCCCCGCGCCGGTGCTGAAGCGTCTCGGCCGCTCCCCGGCAGCTCTCCCGGGACAGGGGCGCCCCGTCGGCCCCACAGCAGCACCCAGGCCTCCCTCCCTGCCGCCCGGCCCGGGCTCTCCCGCTGCCGAGGGCACCTCATGGAAAATAAATAAATTAATTCCCCCACTCGCACCCGCGGCAGGGAGAGGAGCCGGCGGCGGCCGCAAGATTAGATCCAGCCCGAGCTAGAGACCAGGTAACGTAACCTACCCGCCAGGAGGGAGGAGGAGGACGAGCAGCGAGGCCGCTGAGGTCGCCCCCACTGGGGAGGGCTCCGGGGGACGGAGAAGGGGCTGCCCCAGCCGCGGCGCGCCGCCGTGGCCCCGGAGGGCTGCGAGGGGCGGCTGCCCCGCGCTGTGCGCGCCGCACTGTCAGTCACACACACACACGAGCCGCCGCCCACGCAGGGATGGTCGGATGGATGGATGGATGGATAGACGGACGGACCCCGCGTGGGGCGCACCGCCGCCCTCGGTACCAAAGCAGCCACCGCAGGGAGACGCCGCACACCCGCCGTGCCCCGCTGCCCCGCGGGCGGCCGGCTCTGACAGCGGGGCAGGGAGGGAGGCGGGCGGCGGGGCCGGGCCGGGGCCGCAGCTCTGGGGGGAGCAAGGCGCGATCCCTCCCCCGCGCCGCTGCGCGCATCCCCGCCGGGCGGCGAGCACAGTGCCGGGGCCGCCTTTCGCCGCATCCCCGCGCCCTTCGGCAGCGCCCACCCCGAGCGGAGCCGTGGTCCGGGGTTCCTCCGCCCCGGGGAGCTCCGCTGGGAAATATGGGCGGGGAGCAGCAAAAAACGTGCTGCCGCGTTTGCCGTCATCAGAGACGGGCCTGCAAGAAGCTCTGTGGTCGAGGTGACCTTGGAGGAGGTGGATCTGGATGGAGCTACTATTGCTCCATGCAACTGCAGCGCTGGTTTCCCTGCTCTGGACTGTTCTGAGCACCACAACTCTAGCATTATTATCTCGAAACACTGCTGGCTTTAGTTAATGGTTCTGTACAGAGCTCCTGCTGAAATTGGTACCAGAGCCAGGAAAATACTCCTCCATCATTCTCTTTACTTGATCTCTGCTAGCACACAGTCCTTGAAGGGAATGGTCTGAAGAGTCTCCTTGGTGAGGAGCAATTGTCCCAGGTTCATACTTGTTGAAGTGGCCTCTAAAAGGCAATGAGTTTTAGAAAAGACTGAGAAGTTGCCCTGTTCATATTCCAGGGACCAGAGTGTCCCCAGGTGTGCCTAGGACAACACATTACCTCTCAGTCCTGCAGGGTCACAGAACTGGCACAGGTTTTTCACTGCTTTTCCAGTGAGATGAATAGGATAACAAAACAAAACAGAGTAACATTTGCAGATAGCTGGACTTTCAGGTGCCATCCTACTCTTTCAGTAAAGGAATTTTACTGAAAGTGTTATTGAAAGGTGTTTTGGGAAAAAGAGAGAAACTGAAGGAAGCTGATGCCTCATGAAGGTATCCCTTCTTCTTTGGTTGGTCTCCATAATAATCACTCCTGTTTCCATAGTGAATTCCATCTGTGACTCAAGTTACTAATTGAATAGTAATGAAATCGGTGCTTGCAGATTCCATTGGAGGATATACTGGATATTTTTTTATGTACCAGTATTAAATATAGGAATAATGCACAAGTGATTATCTTCTTATTTTTAAATCAACTTTCTCCTTTCTTCTTTCATTATTGTCTGCTAACTCTGAATATTGTACTTGAGCATGAGTGCTGAATATCTGCTCCTGCTACATGGTGGAAAAAATTCAGAGAAGAGATTATACTCCAGATATGTCTATTATTTGTGCGATTTATTACAGGGCTGTAACTCCATGTATCTGTAAGGGTGCAGCTAGCTTAGTTTGCAACACAGTGTTTACAATGTAAGTGTCTTCAGTGCAAAACAGCCGATCATTTTGAATAGGCAAAGGGAGGCTGGGTATTAATGGATTTTCTTTTATGGCAGTTCTAAATAATTTAGGTTAATGAAGACTGCCTTATATTATTTATATGATGGAGACGTGGAATAGCTTAAATACTAACTGTGGCCTTCATGGAAGGTCTTCATGGATGGTGGAAAACCAAATTAGCACAGGCAGGCAAACTCTTCAGACTGTGTAGTGATACACTAATCTGAACAGGTATTTTACATGTAAAGGAGGAGACTTTGAAATATTACAAAGAGAAATTAAAAAAAAAAACAACAAACAACTCGGCAATGTAGTTAAATATTGAGACTCTGCAGCTGCAGTAAAAATTGAAGGAATTTCATTTCAGCAATTTCCACTGTAAATGAATGCATCATTAATAGTATATTAAAAGACTCTCCTTCTAGCTCTTTAACTTAATTCCATCTGTCACTTCTCTGTAGTATATATAGGATTTAAGCTCACTCAACTCTTACTATGGCAAAATCCTCATTTTAGAATCCAAATTTTATGGAGGCAGGAGATCCTTTGGGCAGCCTAAATTTATGGACAGGAAAGTTAAGGGAGAGAAAAGAACAATTATTGAATCACGAGCTGGTATTTTTTAAAATTGTTTTTCTTTCATCACTTTTCTGTGTTGGATTTGGTTCACTACACCATGCTTCTTTTCTAGTATATTTTTCTGACATTCATTGTTTTTCTTCATTTTAGAAAAAGTCCTCTTTAGTAACCTTTGTTTCTTAATTAAATTATCTTGTCCTCCTTTTACAATGGGCAGGTTGTTTTGTTTTCAGTTACTCTGGCTATTATTGGACCCATTTCAGTTCAAGGAAAGGGACTGCAGTCACCTGATTTTATCTCCTATTGCAACATCACATGATGCTTTTGTAGAGATTCATTTTTCTTGAGGAGGATTTTGCTTTAGCAAGGATGGTGTCTGAATAGAATTCTCTATTAATTATATTCCTTAACACCATTTACCAGAATTAAAGCTGTCAATTTTCTTCTGTGAGGATCAAGAATAATGTTCTTGGGCCATGCTAATAATCTGTGCTGCTAAATGAATTTTGTTCCAAAGTTGGAATAATTAGAAAAATGTAATTATATTTTGTTTTTTATTAAAAAAGGGTTAGGTCATAGCTATCATTGATAGAGAATGTTACCAGTTTCTGTGTCTGTTTTTGTAATATATGTGGCATAATATTTGCCCAGAACCAAGGAGGAGGTTAGATAGGAAAATAGGAGGTCACTGACCACCTGTTTTATGTGTCAAATGAAAATGAGAAACTGGCTGAGTTCCATATATGCATCTCAGTCCAAACCTACATTCCTTGACTTGAATGTATTTGTGAGCTGTTAGGCCAACTTTTGTAATTTTATTTTGAATCTCGGGACATTTGAAGAAAAGTTTGCAGTATTCAAACAAAAGTAATTGGGTTATAGGAGTAAAGAGATAATATTCCATGACTTAAGGAGTAGAGGATGTTGGACAAAATGACTGTAGAGCTCTATTTGGCTTTACAATCTATCTAATATTTTTTGTAGCTGTTAGTCTAATGATCAAACAATCAAAATAATGTTAAACTCTTATTGAAGAGCAAAGGGCTACCTAAGCAGGTCACAGTGGCTGGCAAACTAGAAGGAGTCACATTTTGGTTTTATCTTTGCAATCTTAAAATTTTTAATTCATAGTATTTGTGTCAGGAAGAGGGAGTGGAGATTGATCATGTTCATCTCCTTCTTTTGAAGATTTTATCTTTAGTTTTAGTTTATGCAGTCTTTAAGTAGTTTCTTTATTTGTTTCTCTTCAAGGTCAAGCTTCCAGTTCTGTGCTAATATTTTTTTTACTTTCAGGACATGGTGCTTTCCTGTCTCATGACACGTACAATAATGTGTCATCAGAGGGGTGAATGAAGAGCATTTGCTGATAAAAAAATGAATAAGCATTTCCAGAAGTATATTAATGTAGGTAGGGCACTTTCAAAAATTTCCAAAAATGAAGGAGGAAAAGAATGGAACCTTATCATAATATACTCTTTTCCTTTGTGGTTGTAAGACTTAAGATCTTAAGAAATGGAATTAATGTTAATTCATAAAATCAGGAAGCACTAGAGAACAAACTTAAGTCAGATTATTTTTTTTTTCATTTGATGCTGTTGCATTTTCTTTCAACTTGGTGTCATGAATATTGAATGTAAATTATTAAATATATTTCAGTTCCACCCAACAAGAAAACAGTGCTTTGAATAATAGTGTAAATCATATAAATTGCCTAATAACTTTAGACTGTAAGGAAACTTGTACTTTAAGTCGGCTATTAGCAAACTGCAGGATACCTAAACATTGTAGAAGTTTGAATATTTGAGAATAGGTGGATTTGACTTTCTTTTCATATGGTTACTATGAAAGATAAAGACAGCATCAAACCACATAAAATGGTCAAAGCATGAAACTCTGCAACTGGAGTTATCCAAACATGCAAGATTGTTTTAACAGTGTTTGTTTTCTTTCAGCATGAAAATTTGTAGCCCCCAAAAGACTTCCGGTTGTTTTAACAGCAAACTTGGTAGTTATTTCACTTTTGTCTCTCTTTAAGGTTTTCCAGTGGAAGACTCAGCTGTAGGTGATGAACAAAGTGTTGTGGGGACATTAAGAAAGCATGTTGCACAAAATAACTGTATTTTTTGCTTTTCTTATTTTGATATATTTTTTTTAAATTTGGTCCTTTAGAGTAAAGAGCTCATCTTGCTACACCTTCTGGCAGACTCCTGCTTCAAGCATGACCACTGCGTAGTGTCCTTCCATTATGTGG